TTGGTGTCCTGACCCTCGTTTCCCACTAGAGTCTCTGCTGCCAAATCTAAGCAATTCCATAGCTGCGATTCAATGAGGGGCCAAGGAAGGAGCTCAGACCTGTGTCGCTCCCTGTGGAGCTTCCATGTGAAAACCTAATCTCCGCAGCTCCTAAATCCCAGTCATGTGAGACCCTGAGCCAAAAACCCAGCTGAGTCCCATCTGCACTTTTGATCCAGAAAAACTGATATTTAACAATGGGAGTKAATAAATGGATATTCTTTAAAGCCACTAAATTTGTGGCAATTCATTACACAGCAATACATCAGAAACAAATAGGCTACTCCAATCCAAGCAGGACCACACCTAAAAATTCATCTGAAGGTTAAGAGGCAGGCAAAGAAGAAGAGAGCCAGCATCCACACCGTGGACTTTTCCAGAACAAATTCAGACATACAGCAGTCCCTGGCTATATGATGCCAACTGCACAGGAAACGCTTAAAAAAGCTGCTGAATGAATGACTCATGAAAGTGTGTTTCTAAATAAGCGTTTAACACTAGACTGCCATGACCACAGCCCCATTCCCAGATTTTAGAATGTGTCTTCAAGGGGCTGGGTTGTGGCTCAGCAGTACAGTGCTCGTCTAGCATGAGTGAGGCACCGGGTTCAATCCTCAGCACCACATAAAAAATAAATTAAAAAAAAATAAAGGCATTGTGTCCAACTACAACTAAAAAATATTTAAAATAAATTAAAATGTCTTCAACAAGTATTTATTGAAATTCCACCATATACAAAGACTATATCATTGTYTTAGAGCCAAGAAAAGTGATTAGGAAATAGAGTTTGTCCCAAGAAGCAAATTTTTAGCTAGCAGATCTTTTGGGAACTTCTGAACCAGGAAAAAGCTACATACTTATTCGGAGATTAAGGGCTCCCTAATGAGGTATGATACCACCCAGCAATCTGGGTCACAGCTCAAAGCCTATGACTTGAAGTTCCTCTTTAGAGCTTAATAAACTATCTGAAAACCTGCCAAGTGCTAATCAAGTCTGAGGAAGACAGTACTGTAATGAGATAACCTCATCATCTAAGGCCGCATTGATGTTGTTGATGGTTTGGAGGGAAGGAAATGAAATGGTAAGAGAATTAGCAACTCTGTAATGATGACAAATTCAATATTGAAAACACGAAGGTGTTCCATAGATAGGGAAATCACATTCCATGTGTCTAGTCAAGACTTTTAGATTCCTCTGAAAACTCTTAGAGATTCAGAGGGGAAGTACACTGTCACATCCTAAGAGTCAGAACATGAATGGCATTTCTGCTGGCCATTGGGCGTGAGTGGTGGTCACAGAGAAAGCTAGTGGACTCCAGCTGACGGTCCCTGGAGCTAAGAGTGTGATCAGTAGAACCCAAATGATTTTCTTTAGGTCCTGCTCATTTACCACCCTTCAGCATCAGCTAAGTGACTCTGCCAAGAAGTATTTATTTGCATTTAAAAATGTGACCATCTATGCTTGTCTCTTCCCGAAGTGCACCTCCAAGGTGTTTTTCCAAGGGAAATGCCCATATATTTCAGAAAGAGGCAATTAAAGATGACTTGTGTCCTTAGCAGAGGAATAGGAAGTAGAAGATAGCAAGCAGATTGCAGAAACATGGTATCCAACCAAAAGCAAATTTGAAGGTCACTTAAGAGGACTGGGAGGGGTGGGGCATCTTAGGGAAACTTTTAAACATCACACCATTATTATCATCAGCATGAGCTTTGCATTTCGTGAAGATGGAACACAGCATTGCCTTAGTCTGATTTTTCAGATGATGCAATCCATCTCCAACAGATAACCTTTCTATTTTTTTTTTTTCTGAGTTAGCTTTAGCATACAGCTTAAATGCTCAAAGAGCTCCATAATTAACTGCTTCTTCCCAAAGGCCTATGAAAAATAAAAACAACACTGATTTTCTAATGAGTTGACAATTATTTTGCATTGGATAGTATGTTGAACGTGAGCAACTTGTTCTGGAAGAGTGATCCATACATTCTTCAATAAAATCGACTTTAAAAAAAATTCCACGTGCAAACAGGGAGACATTTGTTAAAGGCCTCTTGCTTTCATGTTTTGATGGACACAATTCACGTTCCGACAGACAACGGATGTGTAACGGATGTAATCGCTCTTTGATAAGTGTCATTTCTCACTTGAGATGAAAATGGCAGCCACTGGCAGGTCCCCGTAAAGAGAGATGGTGGGAACTTTCCAAAGCAGCAGCAGAAATGAGATTACAGCTTCTTCCCCTCAGATACGACATGCATAAAAGGAACACTTCATGCATATTTTTGGAAGTGCCTAGGAATTGCTTTGTCTTGTAAGGAAGTGTGTGTGKGGGGGGGAGCATGGAAGAGCAGAAAATACAAAAATAAGAAATCATTGAGGAGGCAGGGTGAGGAGGAAAGCCATAGGGTGTCATTTTTCTGATTCTTGCTCATGTGAGTTGACAGAGGTCTGGCAGATCTGAGGGAAGTCTAGGAGAAAGCAAGCCAGTGAATTTCTAATTTCTGATATCTGATTAAAGGATGTGAGACATTCAGTAGGTTCCCTTGCCTGTCCATGTATGGGCTGCCCCCGAGGGAAGAGAAGGGAGGTAAATTAGACCTATGCTCTGCTGTCTGGTTGTGCAGACTTCATGTGAGAGCTGCTCTGATCAGCATGGGGATATTTTGGGACACAGCAGCAGAGAGCTCTGCCCCACCAACTTGTATACACAGGGCACTGGCTGCACATCACTGATACTGTGAGATGTTCTAAGAGGACCAACTAATGAACAGCTTCTACTTCAATAGTTCTGTTTCATTTTAATGCATATTTTAAAGAGAGAGAGAAAGAGAGAAAGCGAGAGAGAGAGAAATGAGTGTATCAAACCTGTGATTTTACATGCATTACTTCTTAAGATACAGACAGGTTAAAAAGTGAGTTGGCCATTGACTGAACACAAAATATTCAGTGATCATACACCAGACCTGTAATCCTAGAGGCTTAGGAGGCTGAGGCAGGTGGGATCACAAATTCAAAACCATCCTCAGCAACTTAGTGAGGCCCTAAGCAACTCAGTGAGACCCCATCTCTAAATAAAATATAAAAGGGGCTTGGGATATATGTCTCTGTGTTTAAGCACCCTTGGGTTCAATTCCTGGTATTAAAAAAAAAAGTCAGTGATTATACAGATGGTACTCAGAAATGGCAAAAATCACACAGGTAGGATATTGATAGTCAAAGTCTAAAAAACCATTCAGAAGATTATTTTTTCCTTATCCCATTGTTTTGTTTTGATTGTTTCTTTGTAGAGAGTTTTAGTATTTACTTCCATTTTCAAAATAACCACAAGTTTAAGGTAGAAAAATGTGAGACAGCACAAGTGAAAATCATAAAAATCAGCCACAATACCACCCCGTTAAGATAAACCCAGTCCACATTTTCGTTTCTGCCCATCCGGTACTTTTTCTCTTCTTTATTTTCCTCCATAAAAATGGGGCTATATCTGCATATTCTGTTGCATAGCCAGATAGTTTTTCCGATTATTAGTATCCAATGAAAAATTTCCCACATGGATGCTTGATTCTTCAACAACTCTTTTATTGGATTAAACATGTTCTCCTATATGGCTAAATCAATATTCAATTGATTATAAATGCAGACTCATGTAGGGAAGTTAGCTAAACCCCAAGGCCACAAAGCTAACAAGAGGTCAGGCTAGGATTTCCCTAGGTCTGTCTGACTCTGAGCAAAGAGCAAGTCTTGTTAATACCCTTAAGTGCCCTAATTTAACCTGTGGTAGAAATTGCACTGGCCCAGGGAAATCAGAGCCAACTGTTTCCCTAAGAGTTCTTAGAAGGGAAAGGGAATAAGCCCTTACTTTCAAATGTGGATTCCTGGGCCCCACTCTGGCTTGCAGAATAAGAATCTCTAGGATTAAAGGGCAGGGATATGCATTTAAAAATTGTTCCACAGTGAAATGTACTAAAATGTTCAAAGTCTTGCAAAGAAGACAAAATAAGTGTTTGTCGAATGAATGGATATCGTGGTAAGGTCATGCAGGAAATTAAGATCTAGGACATTTTGCTTCCCAACCCTCTACCCAGAGGAAATATAGGCCTGTTTTAGGGTGGGTGGGTTCAAGTAAAGCCTCTGGTCTCCCGCTTGGTCACACCCAGAAACTCATGCTGTGATTGACACAGAGCTATGATGAAACCCGGAACTGCACAAGCTTTCTATTTTAAATAATCACTCTGGATGACCAGGTGTTACATTTCCCCAGTGGAAGAAGTGTGAACTCAACTGATGACACCCCCTATTTTATAGGCAGAACTATCTTTTAAAAGAGTCATCATTTTGATTTTTGACATTTTTTGACACACGAAAAGCATATCTTACTCATAGGGCGAATTTTCCCCCTCAACACCATGAGCTCAATCTTAGGGCCCATGAGACTTCTAGTAGCTCAGGAAAAATATTTCAGTTTATTACAAAATGAGAAAAAAATGACAAAAAAAATCAGAAAAAAATCTACATGGACATGCATTAGCATGGGGATCTAATTAGAATAAGATCTATTCCATGCTTGTATAATTATATCCAAATGGAATTAAAGCATATTAACAGTAAGTTGTTAATAAAAAAATCTATGAATATAATCTACTCTCTATTATACAGTGTTATACTAATATAGTCATACAATATAATTTTAATGTTTTCTTTTTTAAAAAAATACTTATTTTTCAGTTGTAGTTGAACACAAGACCTTTATTTTATTTTATTTTTTTATACCTTTATTTTATTTTTTTTTATTTTTATGTGATGCTGAGGATCGAACCCAGGGCCTCACATCTGCTAGGCAATGCTCTACTGATGAGCCCCAGCAACAGCCCAAATTTTAATGTCCTCTGATGCGGAGGCAGCCCACGAAAATCACACCATAGCCCTGCTGACCCGATGGCTCTGGGCCCAGGTGAGAGACATCTTACCTGACAGGCATTGTACAGGAGCTGATGTTCGAACTTCTTGATCCCAAGAATGTTCTGGAACATCTCGTAGAGTTGCTCCTTGCTCAGAATCAGCTCGGAGGCCGCGCTGGCTGTCATCCGGGCCTGCTGTTTCCTGGGGTCCTCTTCCCCACGGTAGATGGCATCAAACTTGGCCATCCAGGAGCTCAGCACGGTCTCCTTGCTGAGGCCGTCGATCTCGGGCAGGCTGCGCACCCTCTTCTCGATGTGCTTCTTGAAGACCTCCCGGGAGTCGTTGGCCGAGCAGCCTCCACTCTGCACCATGCGGGCCACACGGTCGCTCTTCAGGAACACCTGAGGAAGAAAAGGGCCAGGAAAGAGAGTGAGCCCTGGAAGTGCTGGTCCCTTGGGGTGGACATGGGGCCGTCTCGCAGCAGTGTGGTCACACCCAGCCCCACCACCTCCTCACTGCGCAAACTCAGCCACGTCACACATTTGGCTTCTGTGTCCATATTTGCAAAATGAAAGTAGCAATAGTACCGCAGTCTCCCCTTATATGAAAGGGCTATCTTTTTTGGGGTGCAGGGTACCAGGGGCGTTTGACCACTGAGCCCCATCCCCAGCCCTATTTTGCATTTTATCTGGAGACAGGGTCTCACCGAGTTGCTTAGGGCCTTGCTATCTAGCTAAGGCTGGCTTCGAACTCATGATCCTCCTGCCTCAGCCTCCTGAGTCCCTGGGGTTACAGCTGTGTGCTACCGTGCCCAGCTGAAAGTGATATCTTTCAAGGACCCCAGTGGGTGCCTAAAGCCACGAATAGTACTAAACTCTCTATMTACCATGTTTTCCCCCTATACCTATATAACTATGATATAGCTTCATTTGTACATCAGACCTAATAAGGGATTAGCAATAATACCAATAATAAACTAGAACAATTATAACAATGCATTGTCATAAAAGTTACTTAAAACTTATAAGTTGATATTTCTGGAATTTTCAATTTAATATTTTTAGATTGTACTTGACTACTTTGCAGAAAGCAAAACCCCAGATAGAGAGAGGACAGTCCCTCCCAGGTGTAGCAAGGATTGCAGGCGACAATATTACAAGAGGCAGCAGGTCTCTGCTCAGGCCCCTGGGGTTCTTTCTCTGCTACTTAGTGGCAGTGTGAATTTTGGTAAGTTAACCTCTTAGTACTTCAGTGTTCTTTTCTATACGATGTGGGTAATGGTCCCTATATAGATAGGTCTTTTAAAATGAGGATTCAATGAAGTGTTTTAAGTAAAACAGTGCCTGACTCACTAAATGCCACATAAGTTGTTATGATCATTATAAGGTAAAGTAGCTGGCATGATGTGTGGACAGAGCTCTTGATAGCTTGTATTTGCAACTTATTTTATTCCCTGGATTGATGATGCTCGTCATAAGTGGAATTAAATAAGTATTAGATAATCGTATATTTAATTTTTTATTACCTTCCTGAATGTAAGCTCCAGACAGGCAGGACTAGGTTCTTTTTTTTCCTATTTATTTATTTATACTGGAGATTAAACCCAGCAGTACTCTACCACTGAGCCACATCTCCAGTCCTTTTTATATTTTGATTTTGGGACAGGGTCAAAGTGGCTTAGGGYCTCACTAAGTTGCTGAGGCTGGCTCTGAAATTGCAATCCTCCGGCTGGCCTCCCGAGTCATTGGGATCACAGGTGTGAGCGGCTATACCAGGCAACGGTGTGTCCTTGTTCCCCACAATAACTAAGGCCTCTAGTACAGCACCTGACCCTTAGAAAATTAGCAATGAACTGTGGTGCTCTGTTCTGTCTGCTTTGTAGATAGAAAAACCAAGACAGGGGAAAGGAATCGTTCTTGGTCACCAAAACTGTCTGATGACCAATATCTGGTCTCTTTCTGGATGGCAGGGGTTGCTGGGGATTGAACTCAGGGGCACTCGACCACTGAGCCGCATCCCCAGCCCTATTTTGTATTTTACTTGAGACAGGGTCTCACTGAGTTGCTTCGGGCCTCCCTGTTGCTGAGGCTGGCTTTGAAYTCACGATCCTCCTGCCTCAGCCTCCCTAGCTGTTGGGAWTCCAGGCTTGGGCCAGCATACCCAGCAACATCTGGTCTTTTTACTGCCACCTGATTCCTTCCCTCTGGGGCTGTTCCGCCTGGTGGGACCCTCCCTTAGTGGTTTGGCTGCTGTGCCTGAGTTCTGGCTTCATGCCACCTATTARGAGCTTCTTGCTTTCGGTCCACTACCCACCACTCCAAAGTGACAGAGCTACATGGTTCTGGGATGTAATACAAGGCTCATATTCAGAGAGGGAACAACAGGCACTACTGAGCTGTGTCCTGGTCACACTTTGTAAGGTGCATAAAGATCCCTCGAAAGGCAGAGCAAATGTCTGTGGGATGTTCCTCTGTGCGGCTGGAGGAAGCGCCCTGGCTGGCCGGGAGGGAGGTGTGTKGCCTGGGGGCGCTTGGAGGGCATCACGGTGCCTCAGGCTTTATTGCAACACTTTCTTTGGGTGGAGAGATGTCGAAAAGGTGACTTCTGTTTATTGCTGACTGGATGAAGTAATTAGTTTAGGAAGGGGGGCTGAGGGCTTCTTCACAGCATAGTGAGGGGCCTGCTCCCCACTTCCTGGAAACTGGGACTTGGTTGAGACCTTGGAGGTCCTTTGAAAATCAATCACAGAGGAAAAGTTCCAGATGAATGCTCAGGGCAGGGCRGAGGAGCCTTAATGAGCTAAATAACTCACCCGAAAACCTGGAATGCTACATGCAGACGGTTTCTCTGTCTAACCTATTGTGAGCCTCAGCTACAGGCCTAGATCTCAAAGAAGACCAAAGTTCTGAGGCACATAAAGAAGTCTCTGGAAAGGCAATGTATCGTTGTGACAGGCACTGCAAACCCTGGTCCCATGCCAGCTCTGGCCCTAGCTTGCTGGGTAAGGCAGGCATCAGGGGTAATAGGCTGCATTGTAAGGGCGCTGCTGCTGGGACTGCAAATTGGTATAACCACTCTGGAAAGCAGTATGGAGATTCCGCAGGAACTGGGAATGGAACCACCATTTGACCCAGCTATCCCTCTCTTTGGTTTATACCCAAAGGACTTCAGATCAGCATACTACAGTGACACAGCCAAATCAATGTTTATAGCAGCTCAATTAACAAGAGCTAAACTATGGAATTAGCCTAGGTGCCCTTCAACAGGTAAATAGATAAAGAAAATGTTGTATATATACATAATGGAATATTACTCAGCCTTAAAAAAGAATGAAGTGATGGTATTTGCTGGTAAATAGATGGAGTTGGAGAATATCATGCTAAGTGAAATAAGCCAATCCCAACAATCCAAAGGGTGAATGTTTTCTATGTAGAGACAGGGTTTCACTGAGTTGCTTAGGGCCTTGATAAGTTGCTGAGGCTGGTTTTGAACTCATGATCCTCCTGCCTCAGCCTCCGGAGCCACTGGGATTACAGGTGTGTGCTACCGCACCAGGCTCTATGGGTCTTCCAAAACAAGTTGGTGAGACTAGATTTTTTTTTTTTCCCCCAGGGACCTGATAACAAGGAGTTAAGGGATAGGATGYTGACACTCTRGTCCCAGCTGGTGTCCATAACTGCMTGGGGAGCCTGAATCCCAGACACGTTCCCTGCTTCACAGTCGCTCCCTTGGTGCCCAGCAGCCACACARCACATGTTTGTCGACCCACGAGTGGTGGCCTAGAGGTCACTTCACCTCCATCAACCTCATTCTCCTGCCCCCTCGCCACAGGCTCATCACCCCTCCTCCCTGGCCAAGGATCAAACTGAGAGGGCTTTGAAAAGTGGAACGAGATGTGACCTCCGGGACCCAGAAAGGGGCAGTGAGCTTTGTCAACAGGGTGACAAAGGAAGGTGAAGTGCCCAAAGGAGGCCAGACAGCCACCGGGAGAGAAGGGGACACACAGCAGGAAGTCGATTTCCCCAGGCTCATCATCTGCCTTGGCCTCTCTGTCCGTCAAAAGGCAAGTGGGGCCCGAGCCAGCCTCCCTGTGACCCCCACACAGGGGACGGATGTGCTTGGGCGTCTGCAACAACCCCTGGAGCTGTGTGTGTGTGTGTGTGTGTGTGTGTGTGTGTGTGTGTGGTTTAGTGGCTGTGACATGGGACTTTAACCTCAGGTGCCACTCTTGGCAGCCCATCCATAAACCCCCTCCACTCTTCTGCCAACCCCCAGACAGGTCATCACGAGAGATGGGAGATAAATCTGGGGCTGCGAAGGGCAGTCAATCCAGAAGCGTGGCCCCTTCATCAGCCCTCCCCGCCCCCCCACAGCCTAGCMACCAAAGTCGGTTTGGAAACACAGGAACACACCGGCTCCGAGTGGCTCTRGTACACGGTGAGGCTGGTCCAGCTCCCATGACTTGCTGACAGGCTGAGAAGCCAGGGCAGATTCTTTCCTGCTTTGAACAAGTTTATCATTCCAACACAGATAAGACAGAGGCAAGGAGGTTCAGAAAACCCCAGACGCCAACCAGCAAAACATGGTCGCCGTTCATTAAGGGCATGGGGCCGACATTGTGTTGAGGGGCAGGGGGCTCTGGGATCACACCACGTGGGTTCAAATCTGGGCTCTTCTGCCTCCTAGCTTTGTCACCTGAGCAGTAATTGTCCTTGGTTTTCGTTTCCTTCCCATTAAAGTGGGGATCATAGGCTGGGTGTGGTGGGGCACACACCTGTCATCACAGGGGCTCAGGAGGCTGAGGCAGGAGGATCTCAAGTTTGAGGCCAGCCCCAGCAACTCAGCAAGGTCCTAAACAACTTAGCAAAACCCTGTCTCAAAATTAAAAAAAAAAAATGAAATATAAAAGGCTAGGCTGTGGCTCAATGGTTATATACCCCTGGGTTCAATCCTGGTACCTAAATAAATAAATAAAAAGTAAAATGAGGATCAGAACAAACTTTAACTGTAGGATTCTGATAAGCATCCAATGAGATCATGCCTYCATTTCATTAGTACATTGCCCATGACAGGGTCAGAATGTGACTAAAAGTTATAGTTATTTTAATAGAAATACACAGCCATGAAAATTATATACACACACATATATATATATAACTGGTATCTCAAGTTATCTAATATATACTTTTAAGTCAGAGCCTTCTGAGATGAGGCTGGGGATAAGAGCATGATCCTGGATTGAGAACCATACACATATGGCATTTTACTAGTGATAATATGTCAAATATTTGACTTTTGTATAGGAAGGAGATCAAAACAACTTTCTCTAAATAAGAGAGATGGGCATTAACAGTTTGCTCTGATGTCCCAGTTTATAATGGGAGTCTAAGAGTTACCTTTA